GATCTGTGTCGAGTATATCTGGTAGGTCCGGGTTGGGTCTGGTCCATTGCTACCCCTATCAAATACCATTATTACTCTATACCTTAGCAGCCCATACGTCTTTAACACCATTTGCTTCCAGATGTGAGAACGGTGAAAAGCCTAACTTTAGTGTAAATACATGACCTTTGACCACTGATTGATCTTGGGTATGAATAATTTTTGGATGAGATTTGAGCTATAGGATTCTCAATCAAATTCCCTATCAATCTGTAGAACAAATTTGATCGAATACCATAATCATTTGGCCACAAAAATGGGGGAAAACTAAAATGGAAGTTAAACCCTAATCTTTAAGAGCGATTTGTCTATATTTCCACTTAAACACGTAACTAACTTGTCCCTCAATATTTAAAACATAGCAAAACCTCTAATTTAATCATAAATAAGTGGTTGCACTTTGGAGTGCCAATCTAAAAGTACTTATCCCTCCAAAACGGGGTAGTTTGTAAATAAATAAACTAGTTCATAATAAATACCCTAGAGCTAGTTCCCTAACCACATTTGATATTGGAATTCATAGTTAATCTTGATTTTAGTTATGAATTGTAAACTGTGATTTTATGTTGTTCATGGCAATTGAAATCATAAAATTGATTTTCTGAAGCACAATCATGACCACTCTCACAGCTTGAAATCAAAGAAAACTTTTGATCTTTTTTCAACTAATTTATAATATCTAGCTCATTTTTCTGGACCCATAGCTATTAGATGACATCAAAAGATAAGAAATTGGGTTTTCTTCATTTTGAAGTAAAATTTTTATTTTGGTTTAAAATTTTCAATTTACTTTGATTTTAGCTCCCATTAGATGAAATCAAAAAATATATTTTGATTTTAAGTTTGTTTCTTTTTTGATTGGTCATTTTCTCATCTCCAAAATTTATCCTTTTTCTATTTATTCAGTTCCATAAATCGCCTAAATTTATCCAACTTGGAACCAATGGGTGACCAATGCAACCCACCAATCCAACTTTATAAATCTTTTTTATTTTTTGGGTAGTTCAACAAGAAAAGAGTCTGTCGGTAGTAAGAGTGAAACTAAGACATGACGTTGTACCTAGTAGTAAGAATGAAACTCAAGACATGACGTTGTACTATAGTAAGAATAAAACTCAATACATAACGTTGTGCTTAAAGTAAAAATGGAACTTACCTTTTTCTATATGTAATAAGCATCTATAGATTTTTCATGAAGCCTTAGAATAGTATATTTCCTGGGCAAACTTAAGAGAGAGAATCTAAAAAGGAAATCTTAGAGAGAGAAAGAGGAGAGAGACAAGGGGACACATAGAGAGGGGCAAACCTAAAAAGGAGAAAGTCAATGGAGTAGGGGGATCAATGGGTTAGGGGGGCATGATGATTTTAATTCCTATAAAATTTGAATAAATTAAGGTGCAATTTAGCAACTAAGGTCCGAAATTTTGTGCAAGACAATGAGAAGGCGCCACCCCCCACTAAGGGATGTTCCCTTAGTGCGCCTTTACATGATGCCTTTTTAGGGAAGTGGAGGAATGATGGAACGCAACTAAATTTTAAAAATGATTTCACACATTTTATACTCTTCAATGCAACTTCTGAATTCGATAAACCAATTCATTAAAAATAAATGGCATGTAACTCTAGAGAATTGTACATACCTAATGCTACTGCTGAATTCGATGAACCAATTCATTAAAAAATAAATAGCATGTAACCCTAGAGGATTGGACATACCTACTTTCAAAGAAATTTTTTTTAAAAAAATTAACTTTTTGTGTTATGCCCCCTTGGTGTCCCCTCACACACTACTAAATTTTTTTACTAGTAAACATAAAAAGGAATGGAATAAATGAAGGTCGATTGAGCACATGAGAATAATTATTAGCGTAAAACATGAAAAGGCATAGATGGGAATTGATTTCTTTTAACATCGGTTTTGTTTTGGGAGGCGTGATTTGGTTCAAGTGGAAAGCTCTAAAAAAATAAAAGAAAAACATGAAAGGACATAGATGAAAGTAGTGAAAAAAGATAAGAAGACTTATCATCTCATTGAAGATATGGGATAAAGATATGATGCTTAAACTAAAATTGAAATTGTTTTGAATTAAATTTGAAATGATATTTGATTGTTATGAAGTCAAAATTTATTGTTTAAATCAAATTTGAAATTGTATAAATTTGAATTTTAGTATTTTTTAAGTAGTCTAAATCATATGTTTTATTATGATTTAAACTTTAAATGAATCATGTGTTTCATTATAATATGAACTTTTAATGATCATTCTCAAATTTATAAAATGCTTGCAGGTTCACAAGTTAGAGAGAAATAATGATTTAAAGTTGGATAAACATAAATAAATAAATTAAAAAAACAATTCAAAGCTTGAAACGATCCAGCATTTAAAATTCATTTTTTGATTTAAACAAACAAAAATTGTTTTATCTTCATGAAATTATTTTTGTTTGCTGTTTATCAAAATCAGTTTATAATAAATCAGATTTAAATAATCTAAATAAGATTATTATTATTACTATTTTTAAATAACTTTTCTTTGATCACAAGGAGATCAGAATAAAAAATGGCCTTAAAATTTATTTTCATCTTGAATTGTAAAATTTAAAGATAAAAAAATAGTATAGAACGAGTATAGCTATAAATACTTGAAAACCTTAAAAATGCACTATTTTTAAAACTTGAAATTTATTTGTTCTCATTTCCATACATCTAGAGATCAACATGATTGAATTGAGGGTTTTTCAGCATCGAGGTTACATCTAAAGGTCGAGACGATGGAATTGAGGCTTTTTCAGCATCAAAGAACCTCTCCTAGTGAATTTTTGAGGTCCCCTTTAATTTGACACGCATATATAAATTTTTTCCAAATAAAAATAGGTAAAAGTTGAAGGGAGTTGCAACTTCTCACCCGATGAGGTGGGATGGGATGATGGGAATGCAGCGAATTTCTTAAATAATTGTGGTTATAGAAGATTTTCCTAATTGGAAATAAAGACGAGAGTGACAAGGAGGAACAATTTGGCCATAATTAATGGATGAAATTAAATTTAAGAGAGAGAAAGGGAAGAGAGAGAAAAATAAAATAAAATACAATAGTTAATTAACGATAATGGAGTTTGGATGGGGACACGAAGAGAACCAGGGGTCATGGGTTCGTAGGAAATCCCAAAAAGGAATGTTTGGAGCGCGTAAAGACGGAGCCACGAAACAAAGTGGAGCCGACCCACTCTTCTCTGCAAAAGAAAGAGAGAATATTACACGGATAGGATACCTCCAATTCATACAAGCCCCGTGATCTCAAATAAGAAACCAAAAAAAAAAAATATATGGTTTTACCTCGAGGTTGCCAAGAGTAAATTTCCCTACTCGCCTCGTATAAGCTCAGCTGGTTTTCAAATCAAAACATTTATTATTATCATTATTATTATATCTTAATTATGAAATTTAAAATTTTAAAAACAATCTAGATTGAGGTATTTTTAAACACTTGAAAATAGTAGTTAATTTGAGGATGTATTTTTTTTTAAAAAAAAAATTGAGATATTCAAGGTTTCTTATAATTGGATCACCTTCTATCCTACCTAGGGCGATTATGATCCCACTTAGCAATTTCTAAAAGGATTATACACTATAAATCAATTTTCTTAAGTACAAGGAGATTATAATTTGCTATAGTGGTCGATGTGAAATCTCTTGCGAACCGAATCGATCCTCTGGTGTAAGAATCAATTCATAAAAAAAAAAAAAAACAAATACAATATGTGGGAATTAACCTATCTAACCACTATGAATCACTTGGTTCTCCCTAAGAGTCTTGTCCAATTCCATAATAGAATCTAATAATTTTGCAGGAACCAAACCAACTACCAGTTCGTACAAGGAACCCCATTAATCTGGATCAGGAACCTTACTGGGCTTGACTCACAATTATTCTAGAATTTGGAATTGGTCAATGAAGCACCCCTAACCATCTAATTTCGTTTTCGTATCCAACGGACAAATAAACTACTTGTTCCCTTGATAAATAGTACATTTCCCATATATTCCCTAGTTTAAATACTAAAAACCTATATATTTTCCTATTTCCATATATTTCCTATTTTAAATACTAAAAAACTATATATTTTCCTATTTTAAATACTACAGACCTATATATTTTCCTATTTTAAATACTACAAACCTATATTGAATTAAAGGTGCAGTTTGTATTGAGGCGAGGCTCTAAACAATCAAATTCGAGCCCACCTTCAAATAGTATCAAGAAATATGGTTTCAACAGTAAAACGTCTTATGAAAGCCTTAAAATACATTTTCATCTTTAATTAAAAAATTTCAAGCTTCAAAAATAGTGTAAGTCGAGAAGATATATGAAAGCTTGAAAATTTTGAAAATTGACCGTTCAAACATGTGTTACAAGATGTATTATTTTCAAAAATTAAAATCTATTTTTTTTTTATGTTCATGCATATTGATATCGAGATGATCAATTTGATGACATTTGAGCATCAAAACAACCTCTTCTAATGAAAATTTTGATATAGGCTTTAATTTGATTGTGTAGAGCCTAGGCTCTATATAAACTTTACCCTTGAAGTAAGTCCCTCGGTGAGGAAGCCGCGAGAGCGTCGTTGCTTTTAGCACAAGGGTAGGGTGAAATTAAGGTAATTTCCGGGGCATTTGAGTAACACAGGGTGGGCAGCGTCCCGGCCCCCCAAACACGCCGGTTGTTAAATCCAGTGGCAAAGGGAAATGAAATCTTTAGAATTATGGAAAGAGTGGGATTAAAGAACCTTTCAAACCCAACAAAATAACAAACCAAGAGAGAGAAAGTGAGGGCCTCTTCAAATAAGATCCAGGAATAACTCTCATCAATCTCTCTCTAAAACACTTTTCATCGTTATCCGCCCTTCTCTCTTCTCCCCCCTTCTCTTCTCTCTCTAGAAGCTGAACACCAATCTCTTCTTCTTCTTCCTCTCTTTCTCTCTCTTCCAGCCTTCTCCTCTATCTCTGCACAACCCCCTTTCTCTCTCTCTAAACCATTCCAATCACGAATCCTTCTCCTTTTCATTTCGTCTCTAACACTATTCATTGTTTTTCCCATCTCTCTCTAAAAGCACCTGTTTCTCTTATCCAGTGGGGTTTCATTTGGACAGCTTTGAGCGATGACCACCCCAAAAATGGCGATGACATCTTCTCTGGAGCGTTCCTTTCAGGCTTGCTCCATCAACCATGGCCATGGCGCCACCTCCTCTTCCGCTTCTCCTCCTGAAAGCCAGAACCTGCGTCATGCCAATTTGGAACTCAATTCTGAAATGTCTCTTCCATACCAATGGGAACAGTGCCTCGACTTGAAGGTATGAACACAAAACTATCATTCCGTTAATAGTAGAAAGAGAAAGACTATCACCCCATTAATCGTAGCGTGAGAGAGCCATTAATCGTAGAGAGAGAAACTATCACCCCATTAATCATAGAGAGAGAGCAAATGTTAGAAGAACCTTTCTTTTCAACTGAGAAAGTGAGAGAGAGAGAGAGAAAGGGGCCTTTTTCACAGAATGAAGGGTGAGAGACAAGAATTTGTAAGAGTGATAGAGATTACCCAATAACATGCAAAAAGCAAAGAACTATTCTCTTCACAGAGAGAGAGCAAAAAGTAAGAAAAAATCGTCTGTTTCAGAGAGAGACGGATAACCCTATAACGTGCATAAAGCAAAAAAGCTCATCTTCCGTTTGAGAGAGAGAAACAAAAAAACTCAGCAGAAAATAAAGCAGAAAACTTCCTCTCTCTCTCTCTCTCTCCCTAACTTTTACACTCCTATTTGCTTTCTCACATGGTGTTTCGTGGGTTCTTCTCCCAAAAGTTAAATAACTTTCTCTCCTTTCATTTCTGGTTGTTTTATAAATTTGTGCTCTGTGGGTTTGTAAAGTTAAATAACTCTCTCTTTTCATTTCTGGTCGTTTTATAAATTTGCGCGTTGTGGGTTTGTAGACTGGGGAGGTTTACTTCATCGACTGGAACAATGGGAAGAAAGAGAAAGACGATCCAAGACTTGTAAAGAACAAAACTAGATTGGGATACAACAGTTCAGATGAAGAGAGTGGAAATGAGAGCGAAGATTCTTCGTCTTCGTCGACATATTTCTATGAAGATTACTTGGTAGATTCAGACACAAACCAGGATCAAATCCTTGTAGTTGCGGGGTGCAAGAGGTGTCTGATGTATTTTATGCTCCCTAAAATGGCGATGGAGTGTCCAAAGTGCAGGAGTTTGCTCCTTCGTTTTAATGGCTCGGGGAAAGCTTTGCTGTAAGGGATTTTGAGAATTTGGGTTTCTATTATCGGAGGTTTCTTGTTTGTTTTCTTTCTCTTTTTGGTTGATCTCTCCCTTTTGGGGGTTTTTGGATGGTAGATTCATTGAAAGGAAACAGCTCTCTCTAGATTCATTAAAAAACAGCTTTCTCTCTCTCCTCTTTCTCTCTCTTTCTCTCTCAAGTTTGAGTAATTGCCTTATTAATTTAGCTCTCTATCTCACCTCACTCTCCAGTTAATTAGTTTCTCTCTCTTTCTGTATTTGTTTGTCTCTCTAAGCTTGTTTTCTATGGTGGGTTTCTCCTCTCTCCCTGTTTGATTTTAATTTGGTTCTCTGAGGTGGTTATTTCCCTTCACTTTCATTCTCTCTATGCCCATTTGATCTGGTCTTTCTCTCTCCTCGATTGTATCTCTCTTTCATAGTTAATCTGGTCTCTCATTCTCCTCTCTCTCGCTCTAAAACTTTGGCCTTTATTTCGTGTGTTTCTCTCTCTATGTACACTGGTTTTTTATGATGAGGACGCCATTAGAGTTGCAGAAAAAAGTACCAGCTTGAGCGGGTCAATGGAGTTGAAAAGAATAATATACGGTAATGATTACGACGTGCAGGTATTTCCTCTGTTTCTCTCTCTTGCTTTTATTGTTCCTCATTTTTTTATCATTAAACTCTTTTATTATCCTCGTATCCAAACTAAATAATATTAATGTCAACTCACCATTATTCTGCACCATTGATATTTTGGAATGCCTGAACATTTATTTCTGTAAATAAATAAATATTAGTACTAAAACAGCCAGTAATGTTTCTCTCACTACTCGTGCTAAAGAAAAACACGCAGCGTTTTCTCTCTCTCAACATATCTAAGGGTTATTTTAGAGAGAGAAATGGCTTCCGAGATTTAGGGGAATTTACAATTACTTAGAAAACAGATTTCTTCACATTAATTTTCTTAAGATTTTGAAATTTGAAATCTTACACTAAACATAATATTTCAAAAAACATGGTTTATGTATGTAATGGGAGGTGGGGTGGTGAATTCTCTCTCTATAACAGTACAGGCACGCAAGACAGTGAAGGGGTTGCAGTGGCTAAGTGCTCTTTCTCTCTCTAGATATTTATCTAAAACAGCAGAAGAATAAAAGGGGGCAGGAGAGGAGAGAGAAAGAGGCTTTCTCTCTCTATTATCGATAACAGTGGAAGAATATAAGTGGCAGAGGGAGGAGAGAGAAAGAGGGGGTTGGGGGTGGTGTTGTTGGTGTACAAAGCGAGCTGAGACGAGGGCCTGCGAGAATTCGAATCTGGCAGAGGCAGTGAGGGGCACTCTCACTCTAGGGGCTTGTCTTGTACGGACGGAGGTGGTCCACCGGCTCATCGGGACCAGTCAAGCATGGCAGGAGAGGGAATCTGTTCAGTTCAGAGAGAGAAAGAGAGGGGATGTATCGATCTTGTGGACAGTTTGTTTGGTGGGGTGGGAGAGAGATGTGGGCGTTGAAAGTTCCTTAGCTAGGTGGGTAGAGAGAGAAAGAGAATTTCGAATTTTAGAGAGAGAAACCAACTAGGTGATGGCTTGGTGTCTAGGGAGAAAGAGCGATGTTTAGAGAGAGAAAGTTGGAAGATAGTAGTCGTTTAGAATTTTTAGGTATTTGTACCTAAGTTAGAGGGAATTTGATGCGGTAGTATTTAGCAGTAGAGAGAGGGAAAGAGGTGGAGCGTTGGTTTAGAGAGAGAAGGAGGTGGTGTTTTGGAGAGAGAAACATGGTTGTTGAGGAAAGAGAAAGGGGGCTCTGTGGGAGCTCGGGGACAAGGGTTTAGAGAGAGACGTGACGGTAAGTTGGGGCTTAGAGAGAGAAAGAGACTCATGTGGGACGTAGGGCTTGCTCATGTATCATATCTAGAGAGAGGAGCAGTCTAGTGGGGGGAGCAAAAGGGGTGGAGAACCGGTAGAGATGTTGTGGAGAGAGAAAGGGTTGGCCGCGAATGCCTCGTGCTTTGTGCTTAAGAGAGAGAAAATAGGGGTCGTGCCGGGTGCTTTAGAGAGAGAAAGTAGGGTGGTTTGTTTTTTTTAGAGAGAGAAAGTGGGGTCGTGTCTCGTGTTACTTTCCGCTGCTTTGCATTTGGTATGTTTACCGTTCTTTCTAGCACTCCCATGTATTTCGTTGCAAAGCAAAGCAGAGCAGAGCAGGCTTGTCTTTTCTATGTTTTTTCTCTCTCTAAAAACCCTCTCTCCATCACAACTTTCTCTCTTTACGTGACAAATCTTGGATACGGCAATGGCAGCGCAAAGCGTCAGCTTTTTAGCGTAGTAGGGAATAAGAATCTCTTTCATCTCTCTCTAACACATATCCACCCCACTTTCTCTATGCTTTGGTTTTCAATAAGAATCTTTTTATTTCTCTCTCTAACTCATCATGTCTTTTCGCTTTCTAGTGTTAAAACGAGAATCTTTTTTTACTTCCTCACCCTTTCTCTCTCTAACATCCCCCACCGACGACCTGTGTTTTTCTCTGGTTATTTGTCTAGTTTTCAAGATAAAACCCTTCTAAATAGTTTTATTTTATCTTATTTTTATATTTACAGAAACGTCGACCTTAATTAGTGGGTGATAATTTCCGAAAACACAGTGCGTGCGGCTAAGTTTCACCACAAATTCACGATATTCTCCTGTTTCTCTCTCTAACGATTTTGGAGTTTCTCTTTCTAACTCACTTTGAGTTTCTCTCTCTAGGAATGATAAAACCAAGGATAGTGTATGTTCCCTTAACAAGGGAAACGACGGGGCTACTTCCAAATAATTTTGTCCGAAATGTGGAAATTCAATTGTATACTCTACAGAGTTATTATTGTATACAATATCAAGAAACTGACCAAACCCTAAGATTCTTAAAACCAAACCGCAAACGCGTAAATGACCCGTCAGTTCCACCGATTGATATTTCCATTAGCGTGACGTTTCTATAAGGTGTCCACCTTAAACAATCAATTTCGTTAAAAAATATTTTTGGGTGTCAAAACTCTGACCGTCGCCTAAAAGTCAATTTTTCATCTTTATAATGAAATTCAAAGCTCCAAAATGGAGGGTTTAGTAGGTATGCGAGCACTTGAAAATCTTCTCAATCGAGGGTCTAGATAATGTGCTATCAGATATATTATTTTTAGGATTTGAAATTCATTTGTTCTTTCATATCCATATATATTGAGCTCAAGATAATCAATGGGAAAAAAAATTTAATGACGGAACAAGTAATTTCATTTATTTTTTAAGTATTTTATTTTCGTACGATGTGGTATTATGTATACCTGTGCCATATTTTAGATAAATTTGATTAGTACAATAATTATAAGTATTCAAATACTACCTGACAACTGTAACCATGTGATGAACTTTGGACGGTGATGAGGTGTAGGTGACGTACTGTAGAACTTTACCTATAGACGTGTTGTAGATGCTTCTTATGAGGCAAATATCTTCAAAAACCATGTTAGAGATATTTATTTGGCACAAATTTTTAAATGTACACTCTTTTCAGTCTGAAGAACAATCATAAAAAATAAAATTTTGAAAAAATACTATAAAAAGTTTTCATTCTATCCAAATTAATATAAGCCGTCCATTTTATTGAGATGGTTAGATATAGGCCTCACAAGGATTTTTTTATTCCCAAAATTTTTATATAGCATTATCATATTTAGATTAATAATACTAAAAAATAAAAAAGTAATTTTGAATTTGTTAAGGCTTAGATCTTGAAATTCACCAAATAGATGGTTGAGATTCATTGTTGGATGGGTACTAATTTTGACCATATCTAGGTTGCAAATTGAATTTTGATTTTCATTGGATTGATTATGAGGATGAAGAGAATGTGTGTGCAAACTTTGAGATCATACAAATGCATAAAATAAGCTTTTCTAGATATGTGGTTGCATTATACTACTATACAACAGTTGCATTACATATATATTGCATTATACTACTATACAACGGTTGCATACATATATATATATATATATATATATATATATATATATGT